GAAAGAGATTTGCAATGATGAATGAAATGTCTTTCCCTCTTTTCTCCCCAATAAATTATAGAAAACTATAGTGACACACAGAAAGTGATAGTGACAAGAAATCCTCAACTGCAACAGCAAAAAGTATACACAAAACAAAGCACACTGGAGACAGTAACTATTAATCTTCTTTAGTATTTCTAGACAAATCTTTACTCTTTTCTCTTTGCAAATGGAAATTGTTTCTGTGATATTTACAGGCATAACATATCTGAACTGGAATTCTGAGAGTGAAACTCATCCAGATTCTGCTAAATCTGAAAATCTTGTAACATACAGAAATATTATTTTAAATCTCTCATAATGCTTGGGATGGCTTACCATCAGAGAATGTTTTGGGTTGGAAGGGACTCTAAAGCTTATCTAGTTCTAGCCCCCTGCCATGGGCAGGGACACCTTCCACTAGACCAGGTTGCTCCAAGCCCCGTCCAACTTGGCCTTGAACGCTGCCAGGGATGGGGCAGCCACAGGTTCTCTGGGCATCTTGTGCCAGTGCCTCACCACCCTCACAGGGAAGAATTTCTTCCTAATATCTGATCTAAATCTTCCCTCTGTCAGTTTAAATCCACCCCCCTTGTCCTGTCACTACATGCCTTTGTAAAAAGTCCCTCTCCAGATCTTGTCTGCCCCTTTAAGTACAGAAGCCGCCTCTTCTCCAGGCCAGACAAGCCCATCTCTCTCAGCCTGTCTTCATAGCAGAGGTGCTCCAATCTTTGATCATCTTTGTGGCATCCTCTGGACTTGCTCCAACAGCTCCACGTCCATCAAGGGAACACGTACAAATAAGAACATTTGGTGTATGCAGTGATAGCTGCATGACATTAATTTCTGGCACACAGCTCCCCAAACATGCTTATTGTCATTTACTTTATATAGTGTATGTCTGAGCTCTGCTAAGGGAAGATTTACCTCTATAGCTGACTTTCAGAGGTTCTCTTCATCCTGTACGCACACCAGCAGCTTCCTATCACTCAGACTAAATGCTGTTCTTCTTCCCTATATTCAGTATCTCTGACAGACATTTACTTTAATTGTTACCACTGGGATCATGCCATTTAACCAATCACTGTTAGTCTCCACCCTCTGCCATCATGCTCTACTGATAGCATGCCATAGTTTCTATTCACCAAGTTCTTCCGTATAACATATTCTTATAATCTCTCTGCTTTTGCAGCTCCTGGAGGCTCAGAGATACCTTGATCAAATCATGAACCAGCCATAGCATGAACAGATGTGAGACACCTTGCTCTGTTCAGGCTGGAGATGAGCACCCTGTACCAGTAGCCAGGCCCAATTTGGACTCATCATGCAGGTGCAGTATAAAGAGTGCCACTCTTCCCAAGAGATCCATTACTTTCAACCTGAAGTACCACTTGCTTCTCTGTGCATTGGCATTGGTTTACCAATCTGTTTGTCAAACCCTCACTAAAGTACTGCCCCTCTAAACAGGTATGCAATGTCTCTGAGGATGAATTATGCTCAGCTCTACAGTCTGTTCCTGTACTTCTCAAACCACTGAGACCATAAATTGGGATAAAAGACCTTGACCTAAATTCTGCTTCTCCTGTACAGATTAATTGCTTTCTCTGCTAAAAGCAGGCTGATGGTCTGCAGAATTAAGGGCTGAATACCTGGCAGATTCTTCTGAACTGCACATCTTCCTACGTCTCCATCCTGCTATACATACCATCCTGCATCCTACCATGCAATAGCTTTTCCAGAAGAAAGAAACTGGAATGCTGTTTGCTAATGCAGCAATGTGTGAATTCTCTATCTGGATGGTTTGTAATTCAGCTGTCACTTCTTAAGAAACTTATTATAAACATGGCAATATACTTGTAGAAAATATGGGGAGATTAGGCAAAGCAAAGCTTGGGAAGAGTACAGGGAAGTTGTCCAGGAAGCTAGGGACCAGGTTAGGAAAGCTAAGACCCAGTTAGAATTAAACTTGGCTAAGGATATTAAGGATAACAGGAAGGAATTCTACAGGTACAGACTGGGAAAACGTAGGCCCCCCTCAGGAAGCTCTCAGGTGAACTAGCTACACAGGATTTGGAGAAGGCTGAGGTTCTGAATGACTTCTTTGCCTCGGTCTTCTCTAGCAAAGGCTCTGACCGCACCACCCAACTCTTGGAAGGCAGTATGTACTATTAAAGCATACAAAAGACAAGGCAGGTGAGTTAACCCAATCCATTTTGGAATTTGAAGAAATATGGACCCCAGTAACATGGGAAAATTGTAGGCTGTACATTGAGACCCCTCCAGATTCACATGAAATGGGAAAAACCAGACTAACCAGCCAGCCCAGAGGATGAAGCTTGGCTTGCCTTAAGGGACAGTACTTGGGATGGGATCTTTCTGTATTGGCTTTTTATTTTTATATTTGATAACCTGTAGATATAGGACAAGGGGTAAGGGGATCAAACTACAACAGGGGAAGTTCAGGTTGGATACAAGGAAGTTCTTTCCTGTTAGGGTTGTGAGGCACTGGAATGGGTTGCACAAGGAAGCTGTGAATGCGCCATCCCTGGCGGTGTTCAAGGCCAGGTTGGACAGAGCCTTGGGTGAGGTGGTTTAGTGGGAGGTGTCCCTGCCCATGGCAAGGGGGTTGGAACTAGATGATGTTAAGGTCCTTTCCAACCCTAACTATTCCATGAAACAACGAATTTAATTAAAATGAAAGTTTAAAGCTTTTTGTATTGTTTCTTGCACATGGATATTACTTTTTTCCATATGCAGAACTTCACTAAAAACATGCACAAATGTTTCATCACAGATGTTGTCGTGCACATAAAGATCTCAAAAAGTCACTAAAAATAGAGAAACACTTCTGGGGAAAAAAAAAAAGAAAAAGAGACAAACACTAAATAGAAAAAAAAAAAAGGCAAACAAAAAAACAGGCAAGGATCAAACTTGAGACTTCTGTTGCTTGGTAAAGACTTGGAATGATCACTTGGAAGCTTCACCAGGAATAGGTTCTTAAGTAGATTCTGATGCTTTGATCAAGGACTGACATATAAATCTATCAAGAATTCTTCCATTATATTAAAACTGTTGGAGACTTTCCAGAACAGGGAAGATTGCCTTTCCTACTGCATTCTCCTCTATGGTGACTTCATACAGCCTTGAGGAGCAGTACAAGAGTTCATCTTTGCTCACTCTTCCAAGACCAGTCCTCCATGCTTTCTGAAGAGAGCTTGTGGTCTCCACACAGCTTTTCGAGGCTGTCACTCAGGAAAGCAACACATTGTTTTGTCCCTCACCAACTGCTGTCCTAAGACTCTCCCTGTTAAGCTGAACTTGAGCACTTTCAGGGAAATCCAGCCCCTCTGAGGTCTCAGGACTTTTGTCACTGGCAACGCTGCACCAGTGTCAGCCTGAAGGTCCTCTATGAAGTTAAGCCCTCAGTGCTTTGCAGGTTTAATTTTTTGCCTGCCCCCAGGACAACAAGTTGCATTGGTTTATACCTGGCTTTAAGCCCACAGATGCTCTGAAGCACTTGTTTTGTCAGGGCAGGACAGTGCAATGCATCTGTCTGATGGAGGGTCAAGTAGGGTGGCCTAGTGGTCCCTGGAATAGGAGGCTGGGATCTAGGGGCAGTGACCGCCAAAGAGCCACCTCTGGCACGCCATCAGATGTTTGCCTGCATGTGTCCAGTGCTAAACCATGGGTCATTTGGACCAGAGCTAAAATTCCCACCTCCCCATCCTGGGTGCACTAGGCACTTTGGGGATGATGGGGACACATGGAAAACTGGCACAGGAGAGGCACTGGCATTCATAGCACAGGAAATGGCACAAAGAACTCTGCTTTCCCTTTATCTTCTAGATTGCGAGTGAATAACCATTTAAGCACATTTGTTATTTAAGTAAGGCCAAAAAGGAACATAATTATTACAAAAACCACCACACTGTGAAACCTGTAACATTTAAATCCAATTGTTGACCTTAAAGAGTTTCAGCTCATTACACTTCTAGGAGGTAAAAGGGATGAGTTCTGCAGAGGGCAGCTGTGGTGGCAGGTAATTCTGTGTTGTAATGAGGTCCTCAATAAACCTCTGCAATAGATTTTAACATCTACCTTCTGTCCTTCCTTGTAATTTTCTCCTTCACCACTTGATTCCTCTCTGAGCATCCTTTGACTTCAATCAAAGAAATAGTTCATAACATTTCCATGCCTTGGAGAATGTCAGTTCTTTCAAACTCTCCTAATGTCTCTGAAGAGCTGACGCACTCCTGGACCAGTCCCTTGCTCACAGCTCTTAGGAATGCAAGGAAAGCCCCTTTTGGTTCAGTTACATACTGCAAATTCAACCCACACATCAACATTGCCCAAAGCCGGTGTTCTCCATACCAGAACCTCTTTCCAGAACCAGGACCTGCTGAAATCCATCTGGGCTGCCTGGGACAGGGTGAAATAGGAATGGTGACTGGAAGCCATGTGCCAGCACAGCTGCCTCCAATCTGCAAGTCTGAGGCAGGCAGAAGGGCAAGTGCATTCAGCTGTCCTCCAAGCCCCCACATGATTCAGGATGGGGACTTGTTTAGATGCCATAAGTTAGAGCAGCAGTGCCCTGCCTATACCATAGATATTGCTGTAACTATGAGCAATTATCAATGAAAAGGGCAATGAGGTGTAGCCCAGCAGTGCTGGGTTCCAGAGGCACCAACAGCTGCTCACCCTGCAAAAGCCAGTCCATTATACTTTGATTTTGGAAATCCATTGCAGGGGGCACGCTGCTTTGACAGCACAGGAGCTGTGTTAAATTCTGCTGGTCATTGCAGACAATGGCAAAAACAGCCACTGTGAGTCAGCCAGCCCAGCATCAGTTGCCCTCTACTCCAGCTCTTTGTTCTTCTGAAGTACAGTAAATACAACTTGTTCCACTGCCGACATTCCAGGGTGGAAACTACCCTGCAGGAAATTTGCATCAATACTGCCTTTTCCCTGTTTTTCTCCAGTGGCATCTGTGCTAACACCCCTGGCATCCCACGAGCTCTGGTGCTACAGGCACACAGCCCTGTGCTCACAGGAGAGCAGGCATTCAGCAGAGCCGGTCAGGGTGTTCCAGCTGGGCAACCTCACACCTCAAAGGAGCTGTCAACACTACAGTGAAGAGCTAGAGAAATCTGGGGAGTGACAGCATGAGTTGTGGGTGCTTCAAGGTCAAGGAAGAAAAAGAGGGCTCTAGTGTCCCCAGCAGCGTTCCTGTTCTCCTTGTGGAAATCACTACTACAACCAAAAGAGTAAATTCCAAACTGAAAGAGATCTGTAACCCCCGCCAAAACAGGCAGGATATAACTTCAGGCAGCATTTTGACTCTTCAGCTAAACTGCTCCCTTCACATGCCATTCATTCATTCAACTGGAGCAAAAGAAGGGAAAGGCAGGCCCTCTGTCTTTCAGAAGCTCAACCCTGGCTTTACTGATTTCCACAGCAGGTATTTTCCCAGTTAATCCTCTTCACTGTAATTCACATAAGTAAAATAAATACTCTGCAGAGGAAATACCTGAGTTTGGCCATTATTTAACATGCACACAGTACCAGTTACAGTTACTAAGTCAATAAACAATCTTTATTCTGCTATTTTAAAAGAGGTAATAGCTGCAGCCTGAATTAAAAATATCTTTTGCATGGTAAAAACCAAACAAAACACCACATAGAGTGAAAGAAACACCACAGGCTACAACTTTCCTAGAACCACACACCAGTTTCCTTGATCATAGTAACTCCTTTGAACCCTCACACAATCCAGGGATCTGCACACTGCTTCCAGTTCTCCTTCACAGAACACATGGTAATAGCGGTGGAAAACAGGGCTGAGTTCTTGTGATTCCTTGGAGCCAACTGGAAACAACCCTGTATCCACGCTTTCCCCTTTCTTTTTTGCGCCACTTTTCAGGTGCCAGGGAACCAACAAATCCTGAGAGTGAAAGGAGGTTCGATTAGTGTGAATGGGCAGTGTGGAGTCTGCTATGGGCTTTGCATCAGAGCCTTTGTCCTTCAGGTCACTAAGGAGTCTGTCAGAACACACTGAGTCTTGACTGCTGCTATCAGGGAGCTGATCACTGAGTGGTCTCTGGGCCCTGCCAGTGTTAATTTCCCCCTCTTTGTCTTTACTACCGTTCTTTTCCTTAAGGTATTTAGACTTCTGGTTTTTGTATTCTTGTTCCATTGCCCAGACATAAATGAGTGCTGTTCCACCAGGTCTCAGAAGCCGGGCCAGTTCACGGATAGTAGCCAGTCTCCTCTCCTACAAAGGAAAAGTGCAAGTATGAAGCTAGTATGTAAAAGACAGAACAGAATGGCAGCAACTTTGTCTTACTGTCCTCCCCAAGATATAATAAAAATTAGAGGAACTTTTTTCCACTGTACATTTTAATTCATAGCATAATCCACCATGAGGAGCAAGCCAGGCCATTTTCCTAAGCACAAGACTAGAACTCCATAGTCTAGAAGCTTGTTACAATGGAACAGTTCCTGCCAGGAGAAGCTTACATAGCCCAGAGATACATCAGACTAGTTGAGTACTGTCCCATTTGTTTGAAGATGGACAACGAAGGCAGAGAGAAAAAAACCCACATACGAGATCTGCTTAAAATATGAGCTGGGAAGAACATACCTCTGATTGTCAAAGCAGAGCCCCCTTCTCTAGTGACATTAATTGTGAGCAGAGGAAAATAAAACACAAACACCTAGATCAAAGGGCATCTGCCAAGCAAAAGAAGAATGTGAAGTCTTAAGAAGCAGCAGCACAGCAGCGTAACTCTGCCCTAACAACTGCTTATACCAAATGCAAACCTTTGATTTCTCCTCACTTTGTTCTTCCCTTTTGCTTTCATGAGCCCAAACCAGCAGTTTTTAGTAGAATTAGTAGGTACGCACAGCCATACAGTAGTACAGCAGAGCACAGAGAGGGGTGACTTACCGCAGTTGAGAAATGGTGGATTACAGCAATCGAGATGCAGGCATCACAAGAACCACTGCGCATTGGCACCGACAGCGCATCGCAGACAAAAGCCTCCAGATTTTTCTCTCCACAAATATCCACCAGGTTTTTGCTGCGGTCACAGCCCACCTATAACAAAGTGTTTCATTAGGCTTTTCGTAAGAGGATAATTACAAGACTGGAAAATGCTTTTCACTTGATGCTTACAGTAATAGAGTCATCACAGTCTCCTACTGAGGTAACACAGTTTAAAATAAAAACAAGAGCAAGTGTGAGAAAATGGCTTTAAGAGGCATATATGGTTCCCAGGTGTGGACAAAAAGTAAAAACCCTGATGCTTTAAAACAAATGTGGCAGACTGGGTATTAGACAGCTCATTGGAGCACCCTGATTTTGAACCAGCTTAAGACAGAACAGGTTTCAACCCAACTTCTCAAAGCTGTCTCTTAAGGTATCCTGAAACCAGCAAAACAAGAGGTGACCTAAACTCAGCATTTTCTTTTCCTTCCAGTTGCCCTTTGTAACCTGACAACACTTAAAACAGCCAAATACTGAACTCACAAAAGCTGTATGTGCAACTTCAAAGGACAATCTGGTGACTTTGGTGGCATCAGTGCAGTATGTGGCACAGTTTCACCATTTCAGTATAAGTGCTCAGGTACAGCCCTGTTTGCCTCAATATCACAACCCACAAAGATGTAAGCACAGTATCATTTTCTGAGGTTCTGTATAGCCGCAATCAAGTAATCCCTAGAAACCACTCCAGAACACCTCATAAAACATTTCTTCCCCTCCGGGCCCCCTTTGAACATTGCCTGTGTCCAGGTCAAAGAGGGTGAGAAAGTTTTTTTACATGCTTGAATAAATCCACTAAATCCAAACTGAACAAAGAGCGAGGTATGAACCACCCTCATTTTCATTTCCGTCACACACAATGAATACTCAAACCAAACCCCTGCTAACGAGATGTATACTGAACTCAGCTTGCATGAGAATATTAAATTTATTTTTGTTTTCAATAATCAGCAACAGGCAGACAGCAGAAAACAGATTCAGAATCCTAAATATTTACTGATGACAATATTTATTGCATTTGACACAGAAAGAATACTTGATGCAAGAAGAATAGCAACTTCATCCTTCCAGGATCTGAAGGGGGCCTACAGGGACGCTGGGGATGGACTCTTCATTAGGGATGGTAGTGACAGGACAAGGGGTAATGAGGTAAAACTTAAATAGGGAAGTTTAGATTGGATATAAGGAAGAAATCCTTTACTGTAAGGGTGGTGAGGCACTGGAATGGGTTGCCCAGGGAAGCTGTGAATGCTCCATCCCTGGCAGTATTCAAGGCCAGGTTGGATAGAGCCTTGGGTTAGTATGGTTTAGTGTGAGGTGCCCCTGCCCATGGCAGGGGGGTTGGAACTAGACGATGTTAAGGTCCTTTCCAACCTTAACTATTCTATGGTTCTATGATTCCAACTTGCTCTGGTAAATCAACCCAGCAGAGACAACAGTACTGCTAAAATAAAAATTCTGGTTTGCAATGATTAATGAAAATATATTTGTTTTCCATTATAACTTTTCATATTACCAGTCCAAATCATTCTAGCTTTTAGTCTTCCATCACAGTTTTGAAGAGAACCAGGATTCTGTTCCAGTCATATGTCCTGAAAGCTTCCAGGTGAGCTGCTTTCTAGTCAGGTCCCTGACTTCTCTTTCAAAGTAAATGAAACAGCTGTGAAAATGCCAACCTGACAACCCAAGATAATCCTCCACAAAAGCAGTACTATGAATATGCACATATTGTCCTACCAATTAGCATTAAACACACCTGGGAAGATCAATCCTAGAATTGCTTTCTTCCCATTTATTCCTTGGCTTCTCTGTGTTTACTGAAGCACTGAGCAAGTAGTGTTATTTATGAATTAAAAAAAGGATACTCTTGTTTACTTGGAAGAAAACATAAATCCGTGTCATTTCACACTGGAAGCCAACTGAGGCATCTTTTAATTACTCTCATCATGGAATGGGATTTAGGTGACAACTTGCATGTTAGAGATTCCACACCTCATTACCAGTGCCTTCAACTACTTCAGCAATTAAGACATTAGCATTCAGCATTTAATAAAACTCAAAGGACCGAATTCACTGCTGGCACGAGGGAGAGGAATACCTGCAACTTCCACTGACAACAAGCTTTCCCACAAAGAATTGCTTTGGCCCTGTGCATCTATAGTAAAAACAGGTTGGATAAGGGAACTCAATCATCCCCTCCCCTCCCAAAATGACCTTGAAAAGGACTACACTGCATGTTGATGAAAATCGGTGAATTGAGAATGAGAACACAGGCATGGCTGCCAGAACGTGAGCTCCTCATTTGCATTTAAATTATATCAAATAATTACAAAGTCAGGCTTACTTGTATTGTCAGACTTATTAAAGTGATGCTGCATCCAAAGCAAAAAGATTCTGTTTCATGATGAAAATGGCAATCTTAAAATGGATCACTTTGAACACTCGGCTGCTCTAAAATAGGCATATTAAGCTAAAACCTAACATAGTTTTAATGTAAACATCGTAATAGGTGCTATGCATATATACATAAGTGCTGAACACAAGGAGTCACTGCAGATCTGCCTGGTGCTGAAGCTAAGCAAATGTAACATCCTCACTAGAATTATTTCTGAATATTTTAAAGAATTATCACCACATTCCTGTATTTTCTAGTTTACAAGAAACATGCTTCATTAAAAAACAAAATACATTGGTTTCAGTCACTTAGAAAACAAACTAGCACAAAGCAGCTAACTTTGGTGGCACAGTGCCAGCTTACAGCTGGAAAATGAGCCTGTGATTCTTACGAGTACACAAAACTGGGGCAGAGCCCCTAAACTCAGCTTTTCACAACTGCTACTGATTTCTGCATTCTGAAGCTCACAGAAGCTCTGATGTGATGAAGCTTCATTTGCAGAAAACAGTTCAAAGGACTTTTTTAATTTAGAACACTTTTATCTAATTAAACATGTAATCAAAACTTTATTTTTTAATCTCAAAATGCAACTGAAATCCTTTAATTTTTGCCAGTTTGTAACTCTGATGTTGATGCTCAGCACAGGATAGTGCTGAAGAATGGAGGAAGGTAGACAATTTTTGTTAGTTCATTGTCCAAAACCAACAGAATCAAGTACCATTTCCTGATCAGCCATACATTTTAAGGTTCCCTGTTTCTTATTACCTGCGAGTCCTGTCAATCATTCCTTAAACCTGTTTTCCAAATTATATATAATTATACCTGTTTTCCTTATTCCAGTTTTCTAAATCAAATTCCTTGTTCAACCCCCCGATTTCTTATGTGTATCTCAAATAGCACTGTTTACTATTCAGCTGAATCTACATTTTAGAGGGTCCACCTCCCCATTAACTTGCTCTACACCTTTTAGTATTTCCCCAAAGGAGGGTGGCTTCCCACATTTGTTGTCATTTATTCCAGGCAGCCATTCCCACATCCCTGCCTTTCTGGGGAGTACCTCCATCCCTCTCTTCACTGCTTTTTTTGT